TAATTTTCACACCCACTTCACGCCCATGATCTTCATAGTAATTTTTCTAAATAAGGTAAAACTGAGGTTTATAGATTTGGTACCGTTTTACTTATTTGCACAGGTGATACAAACCAAAAAACGGAAGTTTTTGCATATTTTTGCCTTTCGGCTATTTCCTCTTCAAGAGTTTTGTTTTGATTTACCGATTTTATGAACACTCTATGCCACATAGCAGACTTTCATCTGATTGGCTTATATAAATAAATTGCCTGTAAAAGCTTAGCCAAATCTGATGCATAACAAAGATAATCAATTTCAATACTGCAATATGTTTCAAATCAATCTAAGCGGCTCCACTGTATGTTCTTCCATATGTTCTGAGTGCTCCACCGTCGTATGTTCTGAGTGCTCCACTGTCGTATGTTCTTCCGAGTGTCCTGAACATTCCCTTGTGAGTTCCCATGAGCGCTCCCCTGTATGTGCTCCCCTGTATGTTTTCACTCCTCTATAAGTTCCCACGAGTGCTCCCCTGTATGTTCTCGCTCCTCTGTATGTTCCTGCGAATGCTCCCCTGTATGTTCCCATGCCTCTGTATATTCCTGCTCCCCGTATGCTCCCGCGAATGCTCTCCTATATGTTCCCGCAAGTGCTCTCCTGAGCCTACAAGAATCAGGTATTTATAAGAAAATTATTAATATATTAGGACAATTTTTACTATTAAAACACTACTATACTTCTTAGTATAAAAACACGAAGTCAAAAAAGATGATTGGAACAAGAGCTAAACGCTCTTATTGCAAGTTTATAATCAAAATCATGACCATCAAATGGTCTTTGACCAGTTTACATCTCTGACATAACAACTCCAAACCATAAATATCAGCAGCTTTTGGTTAGCTTCTGATCTAATAAAATCTCTGGTGCTGCAATAAGGAATAACACCAAATCCCACTTTTTGAATTATTTTATCTTTCTTTTTGGACAATCTTAGATCTGAGATGTAAGATTGCATACTTTTACTAATGCTTTTATCTTGTAACATATTACCACTATGAAAGTCTGTATAAATGTATCTTGTTTTGTGAATTTAAAAAAATAGTTTGTACTAAAAACTTGTGAAGACTTCTATTACCAGCATATCTAGTATTCACAAAGACCATTAGAAAGTTCATCGAAAATAACATTTATCATTTGATGCAAACTTCTTCTGCATTGCGACAACTATATTAAACAGCTATATAGTAAAACTTCTTGAGACTAGAT